AAAGAACAAATTATGATTCTTTTTAAAAATTGTAATCTGTAAAAACGCTTGTACCCCAAAAATATAGATCCTCTCCATTGTAAAAGCACAGCTTAATATCAAAGTCTTGTGAGTTTCTATGGACATGGAACATATATACATTGTACCGACGAAGACTTAAAAAGTAAGAATTAAGTGTCACAATAAATTAAGTGTCGGAACCTGATACAGGCTCAAAACAAATAAGGAAGAATGCAAAAAATACATTTCAAATACTAAAGATTAAAAAAAAAAGTAATTGAAATCATAATTCACAATGACTGGGCTTGTGAGGACGAACATTATCGTCTGGTTGAGGATTATCATTGAAGAGTGGATCCTCATTTGTATCACACGCATCATCTTCACCGGACACAGGGGTGGGTTCACAATGGCATCCCACAAAAATGACAGAAGCAACATTTACAAGTCTGAACAAAAATGCGTGGTCCACGAACAATTCAACAGGCATCTCGATACAACGCTTCCTTCTGCTAACACAAGCTGAGGAAAAAAAACGGCAAAAAAATATTGTAAGTAACTGGTAACATAATCATGACATGTGAACATGTAATGAATAAATTGTACAGTACGCTGCAAGTCAAAACCACACAGTACATACTGCTAGAGTCCTAGGACTCTAATGCATGTTTCTATAAGGAAAAAGAGAGCTTATGATTCTGATTTTAAAATTAGAACAAAATTACAGAACATAATTAAAATGTACTGACACACAAGATTTCAAATATCACACGCTAATAAAACCATCATGCACTGGAATGAAGAAAAAAATGAGAAAGTTGCACTAACACTTTCAGAGTGGCGAACATAACATATTAGTATAAATTATAATAATTGGCAACAGAAGGTAAAAAGGATAACACTTCATAAAAAAAATAAAAAAAAATTGGATCGAGCGTTTAAACTCATAACTTAATGAAATTAGGGACTTAGAACTCAGGGAGGAATGAATGAACAATGATCAAAGATGCAAAAATGGTGCAAACCAGATTGATGGGATGCAAGCGAGAAAATAAAAACAACCCAATACCTCCAATGCAAGTAGATAAGAAATGCGAATGGTGGAATGAATATGACAGGATACGAAACTGGAAAGTTAAAACAAGCCATGCAAAATGGAAAAGCAGCCCACATATCCAAAACAAACTCCTAAAGTAAAGTAGTAGGTATTTGCAACCAAGAAAAGCAAAGCAAATAGTTTCAATGATAGAAATATGACAAATAGCTTACCGGTAGCTGCTGCAGCTTCAGTGCCTTCCTCATTAACATCCATGAATGTCTTCTGAATGGCATCAGAGACTGCTACAGGCACACCATCAAACATTCCACTAAAATCAGCACTTTGTTCAAACATAGACTGCATGCCCATCTAATAATGATACAAAAAAGTTGTCGTTAAATAAAAATTAAAAAAAAACACACACAAAATTGCTATGTACATATTTGCGAAAAATCACTGTTTGAATCCTAACAGTAATATACTGGTACCTTTTTGAACAGGTCCTTAATATTGATGGTTTCTTCAAGTTTGAACTTGGGCAAGCTTAACTGAACTTTGGTGGGGTAGAAAGGAATGTTTGACAAATCAAAGGCTCCAGCACGAAGCTTTTGCTGTAAGCCTTCAAGACCATCCTTAGCATTGGGGAGAATGATTTGGAGACAAACATTTTCATTCTGCAACAGTTATGAATATTGGATTGAAAGCATTATTAAGATTAACTGCATTGTTAACATCCAATGGTGGATTCTACTTTTAAACTTACAGTATAACAAAGCTCAACTGCCTTGGCGTCAAGTTCTGGAATCTCAGCATATCGCATGTTTTTGGTCATGTGCATCATGGGCACTTTCACAGTCTGACTCTTTGTGATGTAGAAGTCCTCGGGGTAAGTTTGTTTCTTGTCAAACTGTTCCTTCCACTTTCCATAAAAGTAAATAGCATTAACCAACACCATAGCGGTGGCAGGAGTAACAACGCCTGAAGGAATAAGATAATCACAGATCAATGCAACCAATCCAGAAAGAAAAATGAGGATATTTTAAAATCCATCCTTACCAGGTTGAAGAAGGTCTTTGATTTTCTCATGTGTTTTGTCAGACACCCAGTTGTTGATTGAAATTCTCTCCTTATCATGATTATTCAGGAAATCGGCCGACTCAACATCAGATTTATGAACTTCAGTAATTGTTTTTTTGTAACCCTCAACTAGTTTAGCATGAGCTGTTTTTTCTACAAATACTTTGTTTGCTATTTCAAGAGTAACATTTGGAGTGTTCTGGAAATTTCAGAAAATATGAGATAGATTAATACATAAGTACAAAAAAAAACAAAACACAAACATTAGGAGTATTTCAGAGATAATAGAACTCACAGCGAGAAGATCATGAAGTGAGCTGAAGCCCTTTTCAAGGGTGTCTTTATCAGTGGGGTAGCGGAGACCTTTGGTTATTTCTTCCAGTGTCTTCCCACGAGCACCTGCATGCACCATTGCAGTCACCAATGAGGCACTCAAAGGAGAAACTAGAATATTTTTTCCAGGACCTTTGGCTTCAGCTGCTTTCTGTTATAGAATTATAAACTTTAAACCAATATCAATAAATATAGTGTACAAGAAATTTTCCTGAAAAAAAATACATACCAGGTACAGGTCAAGAGTAAAGTCATTTACACTCTTCAGAACTGCAGCCAAAGGTTCTGCGGGGGCTGTAGTTGCCATGGTTGAAGCAACGATTGTAAGTAAACAAAATAAAAATCCTGTAACAGATGTGAGAAAAACATTGAAGTACCTAAAACACATTCATAGGAAGAGCAAGAATTAGAGAATCACAGAGGACAGACTGAGAGGCAGAAACAATAATTCTAATGACTTGTCCATGACAGTGAGTGCCAATGAGATAAAACCGGAGAGGTCCTTAACAGCAAGAGATAATAAGTAGCTGTTAGAAGAAAACCTCAAGAATCGATTGAAAAATAAAACTAGACGATAGTATTTGAAAACAACACAACAAGAGAAACACAACTTCATTCATTCACGTCACACTCAAGGACACTCGTATTCGGAGCGGTTAGTCGTCCGAATGTTTTGATGTACAGCCCCGCATGAATACGTCAACGACAAATAGTGGTACCTATGAATCCAAATAGGTCAGCGTATCCTGCGTTGGAAGCGGCGGATCTTTTCGTCCTACTAAAGCCTATCATGCCCCCCGGACGACGACAACAACACTTCTATTTGAGATAACCCTTTCGATTTCGCTCCGCCCGCAGCTCCCGCAGCCTGTGTGAGCGGTGCCGTGGCTGCGCCGTATGAGAACGTTTCACGAACGCAGTAACTATGCAACAGCGAGAAGAGGGG